ATCTTCAGTATGATTGACCGTGTGTGTGAATTTTATATTAAGTTTATGTATGTTTATGTTTTGTTGAAAATTATCATTGCAAGTAAAAGGCCCTTTACATTTATTTTATTCAAAAGAAATTTATACAGCGCATCCCATCAAGAATTTCGAATGTAAACTAAAATTTGATAATAATTGTAAGCAACTGAATAATAAAATAATAAAAACATTTGTAAATACTTGCTTTACAAATTTAATCGTAATAAAAAAAAAGTTTTAGTCTTCGGCATTAAAGTAAAAATAAATATTTTCGATCAATTTTGCAACATCTTAACAGGGGTTGGTCAGCGCGCAGTTCAGATCCGTCTAGAGACGCTGAATTTCAGCGATCACCGTCAAATTTAGGAAGAGTGACAGAAAAAAACGCTACTTGGTATAGTAATAATAATAAATGGCGTAGGGAAGTGACGATCCCATCGCCCGCTGACGTAACGGTTATGTGACAAAACCGCTACGTCAACGTCAGTCAGCACCTTGCCAAGAGGTGTTAGAGACGTGCCTCGGCAAAAATTGAAGGTGCAAAGGCCCGCTTGTGCACATGGCTTCACCATGAAACGGCACCAGGTCTGAACGTCTCCCGTTAAATGACGCCCACAAAAACGGATAATGGAATTTAACAGAACGCGCAAATGGTCGCAGCCTGGAGATCGCCAGGGCGCGTCTGGAGGTGAACATGCGGGCACATCATTTTTTTAAAATTTCTTGTGGTAAATAAGAACCTCTGATATACATTGGGAAAACCAGAGCCAAAACCCCGGAAGGTGAACACCAGCATGCTTAAGATGCTCAACGCTAATGCCATCATGTCCAGGAGACTTGCAACTAGTCCTATTTTTAGTACATTTTGCACTTGTTCTGCTGTAACACGCACTAATTTATTTTCTCCCAGAAACAAAGGCTATAAGATAGAAGGGCAAACCGAATTATTTAAATTTATCATCATCATCATTACAGCCCTTCACAAGTCCACTGCTGAACGTTGGCCTCCCCCAACTAATGCCACAAAGCACGATCCTGAGCTATCTGCATCCATTGACTGCTGCATGTCTTATCAGGTCGTCACTCCATCTACTGGTGGGACGCCCCACACTTCGCCTGCCAGTACGAGGCTGCCACTCGAGAACCTTTTTCCCCATCAGTTCTCGGTTCTTCGAGCTATATGACCGGCCCATAGCCACTTCAACTTACTAATCCGTTGGGCTATATATATATATATATATATATATATATATATATATATATATATATATATATGTGTATATATATATATATATATATATATATATAATATTATTAACGACAACTTGTGGACCATAATTCCGACACCTCCTTGGGACAGATGGTCGTCCTCCTGATGTCCAGTGTCCTCCCCCTCTCTTCGGACTTCAGATAATCCTATAATACCCCAGCGCAATTCGTCTAACTCTTCTTCCAGCTCCAGGATTTTCTCGTCAGTCCTCAGGATGCGTGGGTTATACATTGCCAGGTCGAGTCGTCTTAGGTGGCAGCCGAACCTCCACCGGAGATTCTTAGCACCGGGCCGTGAACGGCCACTTTTGTTTTTGTTATTATTAAATAAACCTAAATCAAAATCGGCCAATAGCTTTATTAACATGTGACACATAATTGTACTTTTTATAGTATATTCAGAGGCTACTTTGCAATTATTTTCTATTGAGGGAATTTTGTGAAATCGTGTTTTGTAAACCAACACCTGGAATACACTCAGTTGAAGCACAATTATACATTTTAAAAGTTTTTATGCGCAGTTACTGGAAGATGCAATATTATATTATATCCTGTTCCGTGTGAAATAACCTTTATCCGGGGGCACGGCAGTGCCCCCGCCAAATCGAGCAACAAAAAAGCGGCACAGCCGTACCATTCTTTTCCCGAAGCAATTCAGGCCAATTTCGACCTCCTATAGCTTCGTTGTGGATAAAATTAGAAGTCTGAATTTTCAGTTACCAAGCAGGAATTGTATAAACACGGTATATTTCAAATTTCATTCAATTTGAATCACAACTTTAAGAATTATAACTAGTCAAAGTTTTTTAATTTTGTCACTCACTGGCTGACCGATCATCACAACTCTAAGGCACTTCGAGCAGACATAGAAGCTTCAAATTTAGAATTCAAGAGGTGTTTAGTGTATAAATCAAATAAAAACTTGCAATTTTGGTCCAGTTTTCTAGATACACCAACTGCATAAACAATTTTGTAATTTAGTGAATGAACCAGTGTAGTATAATAGAATAATAGGTGTAGATAATTACGTTGTTGGTATTAAGAAGTAGAAGGTACCGGACAGGAAAAAAAGTAATACTATCTGCAAAAAGAAATGAAATGTCATCAAAAACACAACTTGTAAAAAAAACAAGTCTCGCAATTCTTCTACCGTAAAAAGTTGTGAGATTCAGGTAATACCAAGTCGGTTAATTTATTCAGTCCCTACTTAAGGTTCCTTCTGTTTTAAGTTATTACGTACTTGGCTAACCTAACAACACCACGTCAATATTAAACATCTTTTATATTTTAAATAAATAGATTGACTTTGCAATCGCACTACACAATCTAATTTAATATAATATGTATTACTTGTGAGATACATTGTATTTTTATGCGTATTGTGTGTGTGTGTGTGTGTGTGTGTGTGTTTTATGTGTGTGCGTGCGTGCGTGTGTGTGTGTGTGTGTGTGTGTGTGTGTGTGTGTGTTGTGTGTGTGCGTGTTCTTCTTACTATAATACTATAATCTTCATTACTCTTAGTATATATACGTGAAGAGTAATGAAGATTGAGTATTAGTTGTAAGTACTAGTTTTATACTATTGGCTTCATTATCATCATTATTGGAGCTCTTCGCAAGACCACTGCTGGACATAGGCCTTCCCCAAGGAATATGACAAAGCACGGTACTAAGCCACCTGCATCTATCGACTTCCTGCATATCTTATCATGTTGTTCCTCCATCTAAAAGGTGGCTGCCCAGCTCTTCGCTTACCGGTACGAGGTTGCCACTCGAGAACCTTTCTTCTCCATCGATTGTCGGTTTTTCGAGCTATATGGCTGGCCCATTGCCACATCAGCTTGCTAATCTGTTGGCCTATGTCGTTTAATCTGGTTTTACTCCAGATATCCTCATTTTTAAGTCTATCACGCGAGAAACCCAAGCATAGCCCTCCTTTTAGCTCGCTGAGTGACCTTCAGATTCCTCATGCGGCTAGCAGTCACATTTGGCTTATCTAATTTTTTTCAGGTGATGATTTTTCTAACATTTAAAGAAAACATAAACCCTAGAATCACATTGAATAGGATATCACCATTTTTATTTTATTTAAAATGTTTAATTTTATTTTATAATAGTGTACTATTAAAGTCGTACTCATAAAAACAGCGTTTAATTGTAATATAAACATAATTATAAAATCCAGTGTCACCTACTTCATAAAAATATGCAACAACCATCAAAATCTAAGTCACGAGAGCATGTTGGTCGTTCCACATCTAAATTCTATAAAAATGTAATTTTTCAATTTCACTAATCAACGTCGCCGCGAATAGTTCTTCTTCTTGCGTAGTTAATTTAAATTACGGAATCAATTAATTTTGATAACAATATTTACAGTTACCAATGTTCAGATCAACTAAACTAAGTACCTCCATTCTTATAAATATTTACAAGTGAGTACAAACTCATCAAAAACTAAAATGTATTTGAACGAAGTCACTCCAACACTGACTCGCGGTCCACCCTCGACGATGTCCTAATACAGTAATTTATGACGGACTGCGACAGAACTCGCTGAATTACAGGGAGACGGAACAGACACGCTTGCGCGAGTAAAACGGGGATTAAAAACAAAACTTTCAATTAAATACATGAATATTTTAAGACCTTTTTTCTATAAAAAAAACCATTTAAAGATCTCGTGCCGTTTTGGAGACATTTTGAAAAATATGACAAAAATAGGTACTCTTTGGGGATTTTTTTTAAGAAGAGATTGACAAAAACACAATTTTATTCAATAAAAAACCTTTATCAAATCCTCATCCGCTCTTAGAACCTTAAAGTCATATTTGAATAAAAATATTAGTATTTGGCTTTGAACCAATAATATCATTTTACTAATCAAGCAATTTGAATTTATTAGATTTTCGAAATTTACAAAGTTTGGTATGAATTAAAATTATGAACTTAAATATAAGTCATTATTTAAGTTTATTTTTTATATAACAACGTCATTACGGAAATTAAAGTAAAATAAATATTACAGATATCAGGAGAATAAGCGCTGTTGCAGAGATCCGAATGACAAATGGAACATGTATATTTTGCTGTAGAATCAAAACTACTTAGATCTTCACAAGTAGTCCCACAGTCTCGAACAATATAGTTCATATCTATAACAAGAATGAATTCGTTTATACAAATTTATTTTAATGACACTAATAAATAATAAACAAGGATCTGGTGACTGAGAAGATATCCATCTGCAGATGTTAAAACCATATCTCACAGATTGGTTATGTGTAGCAATATTACAAATGCCATATAATATCAGCCCCGTCTTCACCAACCCCTTGCTGAGAATAGTGAGTGTGGGCAAAATCTATCAGGTTATACATGACAGTTGGCGGATTGAAAATAAAATCTTTATTGAATAAAAACAACTTGTTAAGAACAATTAATTGTTCTTGATATCATTAGAGATAATAAATTAAATATCACAGACACAAAATTTTGAATATTTACAGTTTGGTAGTTATTAAGTTGTTACTAAACTTGACAGTAAAAATAATATTATTATTATAACTTACGTCGGTGTCTATAACTTCTGGTTAAACAAGCTGTATGATCTCTGTGACAATATTTTACTGATGTTTTTCTATTTGGAGTCAAGCAAGTTGGATTTGAACTGCTACAAGCATAACATATTCGAATACTTCGCATTAATAAAACCTGTGAATTAACTATGTTGGGCGTTTTCATGCCATCTCTATATTGTGGCAATTTTTCTCTAGAATAAACTAATTCCGAAGTAAAATTTTCATTAGTCGTCTCTTCGAGAGAATCGCTGTAGTTTATTAAAAAATCCTGGTTCTCGCCACTGGCATACACATCTTCCTTTGCAACATACTCGTTTTTATTATTTGCTATATCACTGATGTGTGATTCAACTAAATTTAAAGGTAATTTATTTTCTTTATATGAATCTCCTTTTGTAATTTTGTTTCCTTTATCAAAGTTAGAAGCAGTACCATCGGCATCAGATCTCCTTGTATTTAATTTTGACTTATTAATTTGAGCATTTGTAAAAAAATTTAACAACGTGAATTTTTGTAAGTTATTACGTTCAGATTCATTTTCTACTTCATAAAACGTATATTCCTGTTTATTTTCTTGACTATTAAAAACAGACGTGTAATTTTTGAAATCATGTGTAAGAGTTTCTTTTGAATTTATATTATTTGCTAATTCAATTTTTGTCTTATTTACTTTTCTTATTGTAGGTTGCGAGTTTTTGTTATTATTGTCTTTATCTTCGGTAAAGTTTTTGGTTATGTTATATAGTGATTTGTTTAAAACCGTTTGTAACTCTTGATCAATTCGAGATTGACCTAAAAAGTAAGTTCTATTTATATTATTTATGTGTGGTTCAATTTTCCGTCTAATGTTATTCATATTTTTGTAAAATGTTTCAAAAGGTTCTTTTATCCTCCAATAATACGCTGGAATCCATATTTTCTCTATTTGATCTGGCACCCAAAATTGTGCATTTTTCATTACTTCACAAACAATTGAATTATTAGGTTTGATTCCTTCATCGTAATGATTAGGTTTGTTTTTAAAATATTTTCTAACCAAAGGTGTACCATTCGTTTGTTCCAGTGCTTCTGGAATAAATAAAGTTATAGCAATTAAGTTAATTGTTTATTTAAAATAATAAAAGCTTAATCTTAAAATAATAACATACCTTGGCATATTAAAGAAAGAATGAAAATAAATGACGTTATGATATTAAACATGTTGCGCTGCATACACTTGGCATCAATAATACACGAAACATACGATCAAACAGTCGCAATTGATCCGTTATCGGGTACAGCTTAATGTAATGTAAATCTATTGTAATTATGAACTGGTTAAAATTTAAAACAATGGAAGTCGCACACTCTTGATTTTCAATTATCTGAAATTTATGAGCCTTTTCATGCGATAATAATCATTGCATATTTAAAATGTTTTGCATAGATATTATATTAGACCTACTTTCTAAAGCAATATTATAAATAAAATTTAAAATTTTGCAGCATAAATAAATAAATTTCGTTATTAAATACACGTTACCCACCATAGCCATCAACGTTAGCAACTCTTGAATACATGGGAGGTCTGAAAATTTTCCTACTTAACACAGATACAGGACATTTTATCTTAAAAATTATTTTTATTTCCTACAGTCTCCTTGTAACTCTACACACTTCTCCCAGCGATGCTCCCATCTTTCTAACCCATCCAAATAGTACTCGGCGTTTTTCTCTGCAAAATAATTGTTCACGAATGTGATGGTCTCCTTATTTGACGAAAATCTCTGTCCTCCGAGCGCAATTTTTTAATGAGAAAAAAAATCTCTTACGCCTAGATCTGGTTAGTAAGGCGGTCAAGCAGTTCAAACCGTAATTCATGGATTACGCCATGACAACCGCTGAAGTTGAGACGGCACGCTGTCATGGTGAAACAGGATTTTCTTTTTCCACAAATTTGGCCGTTTTTCCGCAATTTCTGCCTACAGTTTGTCAAGTAATTATGCGTAGTATGTTCCAGTAATGGTTTTTATTTTTGAAGATAATCGATTAAGATAACTTCACGACTACCGACTATTGACGTTCTTTGTCTAAGTGAAACGTTCTTTCGAGATAATAATGCAGATATACTACAGTTATCAAACTATAAAATGGCAACTTATTTCTAAATCTCGAGGTGGTGTATGGATTTATGTTAAAAACTCAATTAACTACAAAAAATTGACTGGATCTCTGAACTAGCTGTTGAAAAACACTTTGAGTGCTGTGGTATAATAATTCCAGAAACAAATTGGTATATATTATGTATGTATAGAACGCCTAACAGTAATATTAATCTGTTTATTGAAAAACTTGAGATATTTTTATTTAAAGTTACTATTAGATTAAGATCCATGAATAAAAAAAATATTAATTCTGGGTAACTTTAATATAGATACACTAATCTGTTCTAGCAAAAGTGAGTTATTTAAAAACACTTTAAAAAATATAATTTGCACCTAGGTTAGGTGAACCAACTCGATTAACATCACATTCTGGAACCTGCATTGATAACATCATCACAAATATTCATAAATACGAAGCTGAAATATGGGATTTGGGTATTTCAAACCATACAGGCCAAGTTATAAAGATACCTTGCAGTGTAAGTTTGCAGAAAAATATACTGGTACAAAATGAACGTAACATAAATTATTACATTGAAATATTTTTAAAATACATCTCTCAAATAAAATTTGATGACGTGTATCACTGTAATAATGTAAACAGAGCTTATGAAGAATTTATTCATTTGTTTAAACATGTATTTGATCTTTGTATTTCAAATGAAAAGTTAAAATATGGTATAAAAAAGATACATCCTGGAAAACCAAAGGTATCATAGTCTCAGGTAAGAGTAAACGTAATATGTACCTTCAAACGAAATATAATGGCTCGCAGGAATTAAAAATTAAATACGTTCGCTGCTGTAAAATTCTAAAACGTGTAATAAAAGAGTCCAAAAGAATTTCTAATGCTAAATATATCTCATATAGTACAAACGAAACTAAGGCAACATGGACATTAATTAAACGACAAACCCTAATCACAAATGTAATTCAGCCTACAATAGACCACATAGTGCAAAACGACAATGTTATAAAGTCACCTACAAAACTAGCAAGTACTTTCAACCATCACTATATTAACCAAAACAGTAGCACATTAAAATCAAATAATCATAAGCCACAATACAGTTCTAACTTGAAAAGTATGTTCCTATATCCAGTAGACAAGTGTGAAATAATCCACATAGTAAAAAAATTAAAAAAACAAACTCAGCTACGGATATGATAATATACCCATTAGAGTAATCAAAGAAAGCATATCCTTTATTGCTGACCCGCTTGTACATATCATAAACATAATGTTGGAAACAGGAGAATTTCCTAATACTTTGAAAAAAAGCTCTCATAAAGCCATTATATAAAAAGGATCACGGCACGACATAAATAACTATAGACCAATTGCACTGTTACCAAGTTTTTCGAAAATATTTGAAAAAGTCATATATATCAGAATCACAAAGTTTTTGATATTAATGATATTCTAAATAAAAACCAATACGGATTTCAAAAAAATAAAACTACATTTCTTGCAATATATAAACTATTTAATAGCATTTAGCATAAAATCTATGATAAAAACAATGTTCTGGTCTTTTTATTGCTATGTCAAAATCGTTTGACTGTGTAAAATACCATATTTTGTTAAATAAATTAGAAGGCATAGGAAAGGACTATCAATTAAATTAATAAAAAAAATATTTAAATAATAGAATGCAAGCAACTTTTATCGCGATGTATAATGAATCTACAAAAATGGTTAAGGTAGTTAAATCTAAATTTAAAAATGTAATACTGGGTATACCCCAAGGCAGCATAGTGGGGCCTCCTTTAATTTTAATATAAATTAATGATCTCCCAAACATAATTACACACCTATGCGTAATGTATGCCGATGATGCAACTATATTTATTTCTAATGATGACCTAAATGATTCTGATTATGAAAATGAAATAAACAAAACATTAAAAACAGTTACTGATTGGCTGCAGTCAATAAACTTAAAAGTAAACCTGTCAAAAACCAAACTCGTACAATTTATAAATTACAAAAGTGTACCTGCCAAATTAAATATAACCGTGAACGATATAGCGGTTAAAGAAGTAATGAACATAAATTTTCTAGGAGTCGAAATAGATCAACATCTAAACTGGAAGGCACATATTGCAAATATAAAGAAATAGATATCCAGTGCATGTTACGCATTTTCCATCCTGGCAGAGACTACAAATATAAGTGTTACTAGAAATGCCTATTTTGGAAGCGTTTATCCACTTCTAGCCTACGGTATCATATACTGGGGAAATTCTACAGATATATAATCCACCTTTGTTCTCCAGAAAAAATGTCTTAGAACAATATATAACATGCATAGTACCGAATCATTAGAAAAAAATAGAAGAATCATTAGTAGAGCCGTGGCATAAGAAGAAAGAGGGGGAGGAAAAAATATGAGAGAAAGGGGACACTTCCTGTCTAGGAGGGGAGGCTGAGCCCAGAGTGGGCGTATAGCTGTATTTTTTTGAAAGAGATGTTTTCAGAACAAAGGTTTCCTAACACTGACTGGAATCTTTATCCTAGAATTATGTCTATTTGTTAAAAACAATATGCAATATTTTAATTTTAAAATCTGATTCAAAGAAAAACATTCGCAATCAATATAAATATAATATAAGCTTACCTGTTATTAAAAATATGATTTACTATAAAAGTACCTATATTACTGCTATTCGTGTATACAATCAGTTACCACCAGCTATTAAACAATTAATTGGAAATATGTTTAAAACAAAATTAAAGAAATTGATCTCAATGAGTTTTTAATAAAATTAATTTTAATAAGTAGTAAATTTAAAATTTATTTTTTTAATTGTTGCATATCCGAAATGGGTAAACTGTTGAGCCTAAAACTATATGTTTTTGTACTAAGATCATATTGTACACAGTTATGCAATAAACGTATCTTTATCAAGCAGATTTCGACTTTGCAGTCCACTGTTTTGACTGTATATACTGCAGCTTTATTATGGTTGTAGCTCAAATGGGTCGGCTCGACCGGGGGTCCTCCACGCTCTCACAGAATACCAGCGTAAAATAGCAGCTATTACTGCTGTGTTACTTATGGTGAGTGTAGAGATCCTGAGACCCTTTTTTACCGGAAACGAGGCATTCCATCTTAGTCCTCAGGGGTGACAACGCATCTGCGTTTTGATTCTTAATCGAGGATAAATGTAAATGGGCCACAGCATGTACTTACCATCAGGTGGACTGTGTGCTCATTTATCACGCTTATTCTAAAAAAAAGGTATATCCGCGTTTCATCAATTGGCGCCAAAACTCGGATTTATTTCGTCTAAAAGCGTCAATAAAGCAATGAAAATGTTCATTCGAACACGTTTTTGATCGAATGTGAGCAAACGCTGCACCCTACGCGCTGATATCTTACTCGTGCTTAATCTTGATTTAATATGTGACAAACACGTTCGGGGACATTTTCATAGCCTCTGCTATCGCTGTCACTTTAATTTGGTGGTCGTCTAGCACCATTTGGGAAACTTAAACAATTTTGTCGTCAGTAGTTGCAGTTTTTTAACGTCCCGAACGTTCATCGTCTCCCAAGCTCCCACGGCTAAATTTAAATTCATCTACTCAAAATTTCACTGTTGTAAATGATGGTGCAGAGTCCCAATACACAGAGTCGAACCGTTCTTTGATTTACGTGGGCGTATTGTCTTTCAAAAACAATACGCCCACTTCATTTTTTTTTTTCACAAAAACATTCACGTCGACTTACTCAAACGATTGTCAAATAACAACTACACGTCCAAAATGGCTGAAATTTTGGTGCGTAACTGTCAAAAGATGCTCAACTATATTCACCAGCTTATAGTGACGAGTGATGCAATCTTCACGTTGAGGTAGGAAACTTTTCAGACCACCCTGGTAGTTGGCATAAAATATCATGGAATAGCCACTGTAAGAAACCAGCATAGAATTAAGCAATAGCGAGGTTTTCCCATAATCGCATAGCCGGCAGATTGATATCTTGTGTCTTTAGCGCTGCTTCACGGGGAGCAGCTAAACTTTGGAGTTATCTAGTTGTCCGAAATGATTAAACCGACATCTAA